CAACCAGAATAAAGCTATCTTTCCTTAAGAGTAGTCTGAAGAAATAAAGGTGATCTCTGATTGGGTGTTACTGGTTATTGCTGTGCAGAGTGTCCTTTGCTCTATACTGACTTCCAATCTACTAGTACACAAATCAAGAAGCTGATTCTTCTAAACCAGATCTCTGCCTCAAAGTAACACAACTGAGGTTTATGTAATAAATAATAATGGGCTATAAGTCATGAAACAAATGAAATGTCAATTTGTGTCACTAGAGACACCAGTTGCTTCTGATGGTTGCTATGGGTTACTGCACATTGCTGCTCCTTATTCCACATAGGCCAGGGGTAGTGAAGACACAGAAGGGGTAATGAAGACTATAGGGTGGGAACCAGACAAAGCAGAGACAAATGAATGTGTGGGCTTTTCTGCCAGCACCAAAGAGTTTACTTGGCAAGCCTCCCTAGACATCCCCTTAATGCCAAAGGAAATCTTATACATTTATGAGTCTCAAATCCCAATGCAAATGCTGAACATGCTACGCGCCAAGGATGAGTTAAGATGTGAAGCAGAGATGTATGCACATCAGTGAGCTAGACACGGGAACACCTGCCAGTCCCATCCATTGCACGTTCATCTAGACTCTGCACAGCCCTCAGCTACTGCAGCACACATGTCTCTGCAAGAGGGGCTCATCCACATGGCTAGACACCCTTGTCCACCACCATCCATGCCTCCCCAGCTTTATTCTGACATGGCTCTGGCCTCTGGGATCGATAATGGCAAATCTTCCGAAGTCTGGGTACACACAGGCTTCCATCTTGCTCCATTCCACGCAAATCGATAGTATATCAAGTGAGAAGGCTTTCGCTGGGAACGTTCGTGTGTATTGACTGTTCTGTCATCTGTCTATGACTGCTGCTGTCCAAATATTATCCTGTGCAGAGCCTGGCTTTGTAGAGACAGGGCAGAACTATAAAACTCTAAAACTCTAAATATACAGTCATCCAAACACTATATACATGCACAAAACGATACTATAAATATATATATATACGAATTATATATGAATATATAAATATATTTTTGATTCAATAACATTTTAAAAAATATGTGATTCCAGAGAAAGTTGTGTAGATCTTGTGT